ATGTGAGTACTAGCAGAGGAGGAAGCTGCTGATGTGAGTACTAGCAGAGGAGGAAGCTGCTGATGTGAGTACTAGCAGAGGAGGAAGCTGCTGATGTGAGTACTAGTAGAGGAGGAAGCTGCTGATGTGAGTACTAGCAGAGGAGGAAGTTGTTGCTAGTACGGTGTTCTTGTGCAATAATTTGACCTCTCCCTCTCGCAAGATGGGAGAATGAGGGGGTGAAATATCAGGGGATGAGTGGGGTAGGGGGTGGTAGGCAGAGTCATCGTGATTGATGCGAATACGGTTTTTGAAAGGAGAGGAAGAGCAGGAGGGACGGGGGAAGGGAGGGGAGGAGGGAGGCGAGGAGGGACCGGGGAAGGGAGGAGGAGCAGGAGGGACGGGAGAGGGGAAGAAGAGCAGGAGGGACGGGGGAAGGGAGGGGAGGAGGAGCAGGAGGGACGGGGAAAGGGAGGGGAGGAAGAGCAGGAGGGACCGGGGAGGGGAGGAGGAGCAGGAGGGACGGGGGAAGGGAGGGGAGGAAGAGCAGGAGGGACGGGGGAGGGGAGGAGGAGCAGGAGGGACGGGAGAAGGGAGGGGAGGAAGAGCAGGAGGGACGGGAGAAGGGAGGGGAGGAGGAGCAGGAGGGACGGGGAAAGGGAGGGAAGAAGGAGAGCTGTATGAGATGAGAGTGGCTGTAGCGGGGATGGAGAGGGAGAGGGAAGGAGATGGAGTGTTACAGTATTCTGATGTGATTTTGGAGCAGGACGATGTTGGTCTAACAAGGGAGCATGACGGTAGAAGAGAAGATTGCTTCCCTCGAGAGGAGACTTGCGCTCTCACGAGATGCCTTGAAAGCTGAAGTAGCGAAACATGGCGAAGACGCGGCTGACTTGGAGAGCTTGATCTTCACGCTGCGAACCTCCTTGTCGAAAGCATGCAGCATGATAGATGACCCTTCTCTGCGACCTGCCGACCATGAGAGGACAGGTCACCCTGCATGCTAGAATCGTTGTTGATTGTGAGTCTTGCCGCCCTCGCAGGTCAGCTGGCAGAGAAGATGGTGTCGCTGTGGGCGAATGAGCGAATGCTGCTGGACAAGCAGAATGAAGTGCTCAAGAATGCTCTGAGAGCAAGAGGAGGGGAGGGAGGGGCAGGCATAGACAAGAAGCAGGCGACAGATGAATCAGCTTCTCAATGGTGGGCAGAACGAAAAGTTTCTGCCCATGAGGCGCTGAAAATGCTTGAGGAAGCGACCAGCAGACACTCGCAGGCACAGGAGAAGCTGTTGAGCACTGAGAAAGAGCTCTCCGATGTTCAAGACGCGTTATGGAAGGTGGGAGCATAGCATGCACATCTTGAACAGATCCGATCTCTTGTAGTGCTTGTGTTGAACTTGCAAAATATCATGCGACATACGTGTCAATCAAGTCAAGTTGATGACTTTGGACGTTTACAGCACGAGGAGAGAATCTCTGAGTTGGAAGCCCTCCTTAAGACATCAAAGAAGACATTAGAAGAGACAAGATCGGTAACTCATCTTGCATGATTGCAATCATTGCTGGCGTTGTAGCTCTATGACACTCCCTGTTCTTGTCCTCCTCCGATGGATGAATGCAGGAGCTTGCAGATAAAGATTTGCAGGTGAGGATTTGATCAATGGCCTTGATCAATGTCTGTCCCTGACGAGCTGTTGTGAAGATTGCTGCTATGAAACGAATGAACGAAAAGGAAATTTCGAGTCAAAGGTCAGACAGCTATATGATTTCTTTGTTGCTACATGTCTACCATGGTTCTGCGTGAATCTCGTTGATCAGTTGAACCTGCAAGCCAAAAACGACGCAGAGGGTCTGGAGGGGAGCGAAGCTCAAGTCTGTATGTCTTGGTTCTCTTCTTCTTGTGAGCGTTAGCGACAGTTACAACTGCACCGAAGGATTCAGCAGCTGCTGTCGGAAGTGACCAGCCCTAGTCTTATTGTTCTGTGACCTTGACTGATGCGGAAGGTGAAAACCAAAGACATTCGGATTCAAGGACTTGAGATGCGTCTTCTCTCCTCCTCCTCTGCTCCCCAGTACAAATTTGCCGTGAGTGAAAATCTTGTTCCCCCCTACTAACCTTGAAAACAAACTTTCTGCTCGCTAATGTTGTCAACCCTTCTTCGTTCTGCTAACCCTGTCGACCATGTTTCATCCCTTGCATCTCTTGCTTCTTCCGTCTTACGTTATGTATCTTGTTCCTTCCATCCACTTGCGCTCCTCTTGACTTGTGACATCCGTCATCTCATCTTTCTTCTCTCAGTCTTCGGACTTGGATCGCTCAATCGCGGTGCTCAAGGCAGAGCACGAGGAGAAGATTCAACTGCTGGAAGATCAAGTGACTTGTTCTCAACTTTATCCCTGTCTTGTCTTGTCTTGTCTTGTCTTGTCCTAAAACCTGCCGTTCCTCTCCTACATTCTCTCGCACTCTTTTACCTTCATTCAAGTATTTGAATCTTGCGATTTCTTGTTGATCGCTAAATTATCTGCTTTCTATCTTTCTTCTCACCTTCGCTCAACATCTTCAGGTCGCCGGACTATTCAAGATCAGTGAAGAAAGATTGAAACTTCTTGATGAACAGGCAATATCCTTATCCTCAGACCTCGTCTCCCCTTGTATTTCCCCATGTAGAGCATCCTTGGCATGCCTTGTTTCTTCTTTCCAACACTTCTTCTCTGCCACACCAGCCTCGTTTGTCCTTCCTTCTTCTATTCTCTGCTCGAGCATGTTTGGCTCTTTTCTTGCTTGTCATTTGACGGATCACGAGCAGTCAGCGCGCATCAAGTCGTTGAACGACGAGTTGACTCATCGGCACCAGACCTGCGAGGACCTGAGAAAGAGGCTGGGGGCTCAGGTCCCGCATCATCACATCTTTCGTCCACTTCTTCTGTCGTGACATGTTCTGTTTGTTTGTGATGGTGCGATCAGGCCGAGGCGCTCAAGAAGGGCGCGCAAACAGCTGCGAGCTTAGAAGAAAAGATAGAGAAAGAGAACGAGGTACAGCGTTGACGTCTTTCCCTCCCCTTCTTCAGTCTCTTCGTATTGATCGCATGTTCTCTGATAGCATCTTTGACAGGAGCTTTTTGAAGCTCGGCGATTGAGAAGTATTGCAGAGGAGCAGGTGCGCTAATGAGCAAGAGAAGCAAAGAAGCAGGGGCAGAGGAGGAGGAGGAGGAGGAGGAGGAGGAGGAGGGGAGTGAGAGGGCGGGGGCGAGATGGGTAGTGAAGTTTGGGCAACAGCTGCTACTCCTGCAGAAAGAAGCAGAGAATGCTCGAAGAGAGGCTCAGGTGAGCTGGTAGATCCTCGTCTCACGTCTCATGCTCCCTCTTGTGTCGCTTGCAGAAGCTTGACGGTGACTGTAGGAGGCGCGCGCCTTTGAGATCGAATTGAGATCAACAGCAACCAAGCAGAAGGTAAAGCTACAGCTAGTGCCAACGAGGCTCTTTGTCGTCTTCATCAGTACTTTCATCATCGTCATCATCAACAATACCATCAACACCGTCGTCGTCGTCGTCTTTTGATCATCATCATCAACGACAACAACCTTCTCATCATCATCATCTCAATCATTAACCTTCTCATCGTCAACTTCGTCATCCTAATCTCAAACATTTCTTGTTCTGTTTCGTTCATTTTGAGATCTTCCAGGAAACGTACGGGAAAGACATGGAAACGCTTCACAAGGAGAGCGAGCACATGTAGAATCAGTGAGTGAGGGGTTTCGTTCTGACCTCTGTGCTAGAAAGGAACAGCTGCAACTTGCGAAAGAAAACAACGACATTCTCGAGGGACAGGTGGAGAGAATGATGGAAGTCAAGATTTGATCTGATCTTATCATCAGCTGAGAAGCTCAGAAGAGAAAGTCATCACTCTTACTCGAGAGCTGGAGAAATGGAAGGTAGAGGAACAAGCGAGGCGAATAGTCATAATTGCAGAAAGATTGGACGAACATGGAGAACGATCTCCTACAGGTGTTCCACTGCTTCTTGATCTTCTCCGTCACTTGACCCGTTCAGTCTCGTTTGACTCCATCCTCTGCTCTATTACTTTTATTCCCCCTCGTTCAGCCTCTGAGAGTATTTTTCTCCTCCTCTCCCTCCTTCCTTTTTCCCCCCTCCCCCTTCCGTTTTGTCTTCGCTCTCTTTGGATCTTTTTTCGACTCTTCTCAATCTCTTTTGCCTTGCATGTCTTTTTCTTCCCTGCGTTACGTCATTTGAGCCATGTACCCGGTATGCAGGCAAAGAATGAACTGAGAGGTTTCAAGAAAACGGATCACGACAGGAACCTCGGTCAGTGAAGTCTCTATGAGAGACCTCTGTATCAGAGATGTCTTTATTAGAGATGTCTTATGAGAGATCTTTGTGGGAGATGCTTTTATTTGAGATGTCTTTATGTTGCCAGCTTGAGCTCTGTTGTTCTTGTTCTTCTAGACCCTCACCTGTCATCTTTGTCTTGGCCTTCGCCGTCATTCTTCTCATGAGCTTGACCGGCCAGGGCTCGAGACGGCGTTAGCGCAGAAAGAGTCAATCATCAACCGGCAGTCGGAGGAGTTGCATGACCTCAAACTCAACAACAGGTCGAGAAGAGCGACAAGACGCCTGCCTGACCATCTATGCAGAAATCTTCAGTCAGAAGTAGAATCTCTTACTGAGAGTCTCAACTCAGCTCTTCATCGAGAAGAAAACTTGCGAAAACACACAGAGCAGGTGGGTCAATGAGGCCGACGCGTCAAAGGGGTTTTGACTCTACCGTACAAATGTCGCAGGTCGGTCATCAATTTCAGCTCAGAATCAGCGAAATGCAGGTAATTGTTGCTTGCTATCGTATCACGATATCAAACATGCCTCAAGGGAAAGCTTTCATCAGCTCAACAAGAACAAACTGAACTCTCCAAGTCGTCCAAGACGGTGATATGCGTTTGAAAAGTCACAACATGAAAGTCTTGCAGTTGCAAGAACAAAGAGACAAAGAGATTGTTGCGTCTTCGGAGATGTTCAAGAAACTAGAGGAGAAGGCCGTGAAAGAAGTAGTGCTGTCTGAAATTGAACTCCTTGCGTTTCATTTATGCACAACTGCAGGTGGAATATAAGACAAGAATACAACAAGTGCTGGACCTGAACGCGAAGCTTCAAAAAGAGAAAGTCAGAAAATTGCAATATCCGAAGACTTCTTTCTAACAACTGACACTGTTTCATTTCAGGACAAGTTTGAAGAACAAGTATGACATGGATGATGTGTTTCTGAATTGCCTTTTTAAAGAAACAACTCCTTTTCTCGTTTTTCCCAACTCTTTCAACTTGAGATAAATTGTTCGAGCAGATGATCGCTTCTAATCTCCAAGCTATCTCCAATAAATCAAGATGGGCCTTTGCGAGCTACCAGAATGACATTTTGGTGAAGAAGGTAAGTGATTTCATCCAACATCGTGATGTCTCACCTGTTTCTAGTTGGCGGAGCTTAAAAGCGAGGTTGACCTGCAAAATATACTTGAAATGTTTCTCTGTTAAGCTCTTGGTCAGAGTGAAGCGTTGAAAAGCAAGCTGCGAGGAGCTATGGATGCTCTCGATCGCGCTCATCACGGCGTGCTCTTGACAGGTGAGTGTACATGGAACACGGGATGAGAGACGCTTGTCGCATCTCATCCCGTGACAACTTTAGACAACAACTGTAACGCGAGCTGAAGATTCAGAGGGAAAGAAGTTCATGGAGAATCTCAACAAGTACGACGAGCCGCAGGATGGTGAGAGATAGAACTCTGAGACAAAACGAGATGTTGAGGTTCTGACAGGAAAGCAAGTGGAAACACTGCAGCAGGAGCTCAACGTGTTGATCCTCCTCTTATGCTCTTTTCTGACCCATAAGGCTTCAGAATGCTGCCAAGGAGATTGAGTTCAAGAACAAGAAGATTGTTGAGTATGACTAGAAGTACAGCGATTGCGGATTGACGTTTGCAAAGGTACGCCAGAGCTCTTGAGCAGCTGCGGTCAGAAATGAAAGAGGAGAATTCCCGCCGATCTGTGAGGAAGGTAAGGAACACACAATATTTATGTCGGGTTGTATTCATTCGATTTCTTGTGTCATTCGGTATTGAATTCGGTCAGAGAGTAATATCATCTAGTGGTTGCGACCATGTTGCGAACAAATGACATGATGATGGTGACATGTTGATGATGGTGATGTTTTCTCACTCCGTCCTTGATGATCAGACGGCTCTCAAGCTCTTGTACACTTGCTTTGAAATATCGTGTCAAACGGTCAGCAGGTTCTGACTTTGAATTTGCAGGAGGAGCCAGGAACTCCAACTCTTCGACATGATGCTGCTGAGGTAAAATCTGTGATAAAATCAACATCTCCCGAGATTTTATTCGTGTCGTTGACTTGTCTTGTGATGTGGTGAACTTGCCTTGATATGGTTGACTTGTTCTCAAGACCACGTGAAGACACATCAATCAAAATCATCAGAATTAACGTTCTCTCTCCATACAGCTCGTCAACTCCCTGCGTAACCGAGTCTCGGAATTGGAGCACGAGAACCAGCTCTTACTTGACAAGCTGCAGTATGCGCGAGAAGACGCGCAGAGGTTGTCAGGTGTGAGCAACCAAGCGAAAGCTCATCATCGCTGCACAGAGAGTTCACGGAGGAGCGAGACAGGCTGACAGCGCAAGTAGCTACGGTACAAGAGATAGCAGGTGAAGTTGAGACCCAACGATTAAGAACATTGAATGCTTCAGGGAGCAGATCAAAGGTTAAAGAGACTTCGGGAAAGAGATCAGATATACGCCCGGCTGTCAGAGAAATCATCTAGGTCAGGAAGCAACGGGTCTGACACTTGACGGGACTAACACTTGACGGGACTAACACTTGACGGGACTGACACTTGACGGGACTGACACTTGACGGGACTGACACTTGGTCCCGTTTTGTCCCCTCCCTCTTCCCTTCGTTTCCTCTTCCTCTGATGCCGCGCCTAGGGGCACTGGCTTCGAGCTCTACGACGATGGGCCTGTGGGCAGGGGCAGTCTGTTAGGAGGAGACCTGCGATCGCCTGCTCGTGCTCGCCAAGGCTCTCTGCTGCGAAGCGACGGGCTTGTAAGCTCTTCGGACAGGTGGAGCAAGGGCGCATACGCGTAGCTGATTTACTTGCATAGCGCGACCAGCTCTGAGAGACCGCGGGGGGACATGAGCGAGTCGAGCAGAAGCCAGCAGAGCATCGAGCAGCGTCAAGAGCCAAGATACCGTCAGAATAGCACGAGAAATGTTGAGGCAGCGCAGGTGGTGACCACCCTGCTGAGGTTGATTGCTGATGAGGAAGCCAAGGTGTGGGAGGACGAGCCCCAGGCAAGCGAGCTGAGTAGCAGCGTGAGCCTCCTCGAGAAGGAGGAGCGCATGTTTCGTGCTTCACATGGCTCATCGCATAAGAGCACACAGGAGCTCACGTTGGATCAGTTTCTTGTTGGTGCCTCCAGGGAGCTCGAGATGGCGTCTTACGCTAGCGCAGGAGCTGCTGCAGCTCAAGGGTCTGCTTCCTGCTGTCGTGTCAGAAAGAGAAGCAGAAGAAGCTTTCCGCAGAACCATCTCGGTACATGAGGCAAAGAGACTCGCAAGCTGACGAGCAGACAGGAGAATCTATCTCAAGAGTACGATCGCATGCCCTTTGAATGTTTCAAAGACTGCATTCGAAGGCTCCTCCAAGGTGTTGTCTCGTGCTTCTCCTCCTCCCTTTGCCTTCTTCTTTGTCGTGTCTTCTCCTGAGCACCTCATTGCAGACAAGGATATGCTGAGTGGGACGTACAACTTTGATCGGTGAGGAAAGAATAACTTGATCAACCAATTTGAGTCTGAGGACAGGGAGATAGCAAACCGTCGCGAGGCCCCGCAGGTTGACTTGTAAGAAAACGTTTCAACGCATGATGAGATGGCAGATTCGTCCACCAGCAGCTGTAAGAAGTTTTGACAGGCAAGCTTGACCTCTTCTGCGATCTCTTCTCAGGCGCTTGGGCAGCAAGTATGATCGATCTACTCGAGGGTCCGAGGAAGCAGGTGCTGCGCTACCTTGACTGACCTCGTTCTTGCTGTTTTGACGTGTGTATGCTAAACTGTTTTGACGTGACCTTGCGGTTGGTCTCATGCATGCTAAACTGTTTTGACGTGACCTTGCGGTTGGTCTCATGTATGCTAAAGCTGCTTCAGCATACGAAGAGTTCCAGCAATGGAACAGAAGAGTCGCAGACTCGGCAGGCTCGATGAGCGACGAAGGTGCAGCATTCGTGAATTGCTTCTTCTTTGGTCATACGATCATGCAGATTGAAGGCAACATGAAGTTGTTGTATGCATCTCCAGTAGCATCCTGCAGTCTAAGGACGAGTTTCTAAAGATTTCCAGCCAGCGATTTCTGTAGCAGACGTGAGAAAGATTCGCAGTTTTCGCGCCCATCATCACGTGTATCGGGTCGGGTCAACGTCTGCTGAGCCCTCCCTTGACACGGCGAGGTCACTACACGTCTATGCTCACATCCTCTGCCTAGACCCCTTGGAAGCTGAAGCTCCCTAAGGGTTTGAACCAAGGCAGCTGCCTTTCCTCCGTACTTCTGGGGAGCTGGGAAAACCTTCTGCTGCCAGTACTCTTTTTCTCTACCCCTTTGATCTTTTTCTGGATCCCCCGAGAGCTCTCAGCTCCTCCGCGCAACGTGAGATATTCTTGGACAAAACCGAGAGGAGCTGAGAGAGCTCCCGGGGGATCCAGAAAGAGATCAAAGGGGTAGAGAAAAAGATCAAAAGGGTAGAGAAAAAGATCAAAGGGGTAGAGAAAAAGATTTCTTTGAAACCGTTTCCATCTCTCCCCCTTGCCTACTCCCGGCACTCCCCCCTTCCTCCTCCCTTCCTCCTGTCATGATTCGCTTTTAGAGGTGAGAGGCAACCAGTCCCATCTCCTCTAGGGCGAGGAACAGCAAGTCAGTTCGAAAATCTTTTTGTTGTTTCTCCTCTCCTCTCCCTGTTGCTTTTGCAAACGCTCCCTGGCGTCTTCTTGACGCTACCGTTTCCCACGCATGTTGTCCGCTTGAAAACCTATGCTGCAAGCTTGAAGAGCAAGGCTTGATAGTAGATCAGACGCAAGACAGCAGGAGCTTGATCTTCAAGGCTCCCTTCAAGCCAGGCAGCAGACTCGGATCCCAGCAGTGATCACGTTTGTCCGCTGCTTGTCATGATTTGTCGCGAGAGCAGAGGCAGTGAGGCAAGATCATGAGTAAACTGAGGCGTAGCCGCGGCCCGAGTATAAGTCCCCGACTTTGACTCTAGGGTTGCCGAGGATGATTCCGCCCATTCCTTCAGCGTCGGAAAACTGATAGGATATGTTTACTGACTTTCTGTCTTTCTTAAGTAGGTGTCCTAGGCAGTATCGTTTCTTAGGAAATTAGATTACTTATTTCTTTATCTCTAACGTTGATTTGGAGTAAATTGCCGTTGAATTGTGCATTGCTGTCACACGCTTGCTCTTTGGTTTCTTGACGGGATCACTTCGTGTGTCAACACTGGATCGAGAGATACTTGTAGGAAGTTTTCCTAACATTTTGGTACGTTTCCTCTCGGAGTTGTTGTGTTGAAAGAAGTTGTTCAAGAAAACATGGATAGGACGAGCATTCAGTCAGGTAGCGTTGTCTCGGACTTCATGAGTCGAAGCTTGTCACGGTTGGGCAGCTTTGTGAAGGAGACATTGAATGGGTCAGCCGAGCCGCGCTTTCCTACGATGACAGGCATGTCGCCGCAGTCACATGCGTACGATCCGTCGGAAACTGTAGGGATGAAAACGAAAGAGATGGTCCCGCCCTATCTCGTAAATGCACTCGCAGAATCCCAGAGAGAAGCTGATCGCAAACTCCAGGATCTTGTGAGGGCACTTGAGGAATCCCAGCGAGAGAACCGTAGGCTTGCCAAGGAGGCAGCGGAGATGCGTGTACTTGCTTTGTGAGCGGGTTCGGGAACCCGAGGACAAGCCTCCCAAGCTTAAGCATGCGGAGAATGACGGTGGTCAGATTTGCAAGCTGGATCCGAAGTCATTGTTGCAGTACAATGGTGAGCAGACCATGGAGAGGTCGGTGGTCTCATGGCTCGGATATATCGAAGGCAGGTGTAAATTTCACCGTATAGCACTCCATCGATGGGTATGAGCGGCCATCTCTGCGTTCGGTCCGGAGGTGCAGCTATGGTGGGCTACACTCCCGATGGCTGAGCAAGATCAGTTCTCAGCTGAGCATGGTGATTGGGAACAATTTGTGGAGAAACTGTTGTTGAAATGGTTACCATTCGAGTTTATTGAGAAACTTGAGCGTCATGTGCAGAAGCAGGCTAGGCAAGGGCCCAAGGAGTCTGTTGAGGCGTACACCGCGAGATTCCAGGCGATGGTTACACACCTGCAGGCGTGCTACCTTGTGTCCAAGAGACCTAGTGTTGCGCTAGGTAGCTGGGAACGCGTCTTTGTCGATGGGATACAAATGGACTATGCACGCGCCATGCTACGGAAGGAATTGAACATGCTGATGGAACGCGATGGTAAGACGTTTGGGATTACTTACCATGCGGAGCCGTCGGAGATGGGCAAGTATTTGCCGCAGTTGTATCGCGAAGCTCTTAATCTGCGTCAGCGACACCCACAAGACGGTCAGACGAGTCTTCATTTCACCCAAGCACAACCTCGTCATGAGGGCAAGCGGTCGGCTCCTACTCAGAGCGAGGACATGCAGGGCAAGGAGAAGAAGTTCGACAAGAAGAAGGTGAAGTGCTACAACTCAGAGACAAGTGCCCTCTCTTGTCGAGGTCTGAACAACCGTCAGCTTTAAACCAGTGACGTCGGTTGCCGCGGAGGGCGCAATCGACGGGGGCACGGGTTTGCAGACTTCGAATGTTGTCTTCGACCCGGGCACACCTCCGCCAGAGAATCCTAGGGATATTCGTCAATGTCGTATCACCGTTGACTCTCACAGGATCAAAGCTCTACCTATGGTACCTGTGACCTTTCGGTTCGGGGATCAATCCATAGTTCTCAATGCATTGCTCGATACAGCTGCTGAAGAGTCGTTTATCAGCACGAAGGCAGTGCGCAAATTTGGTCTGTTGGTCACGGATGCAGAAGTTCGTAAACGAGTTATCATGGCCGACGGGACTAGTAGGTTGTCTGATATGGTTTTCCAGACAAAATTGGGCGTAGGCTCCAGTTTCAAGAGTAGTGGGTCGTTCTACATGCTTGACTTGCCGCATGCGGACATGATCCTCTCATGGGAATGGATGCGTGCAAACAAGATCGTGATTGATGCGGGTCATCCCAGAGTCTTTGCCAAGTGGCGCAGCAAGATGGTCGAGCTTCCGTTACTTATTTGCCCGACGAACAAGCAATTCGGGGCTGCGGACGCCTCGCTGTGTCAGGTACTTTCTTACACTGAGATTCGGAATGGTACGTGGTACATTTGTGCAACCTGTTGGAGATTGCTCAGCCGACAGATGGTGCCACGAGTCTCGAGCAGAAGGCTGCCGAGACGATCATGGAAGATTATTCGGATGTCATTCGTGATGACATTCCCAGTGACGTTGTTCTTGACCGGTCCTTCAAGGCGACGATTCGACTCAAGGATAACGTTGAAGCGGTGCAAAAGAAAGGCTTACCCTGTGCCACTCGCGTTGGAGGAGGAGTTGAAAGCGAATCTTGCCTTCTTGTTGGAGCGTGGGATCATTGAACCTTCGACGTCTGAGTTTACGTCTCCCGTAATCTTCACAAAAAAGTCTGATGGGACATTGCGTTTTTGCACTGATATGAGGTTCGTTAACAGCTTGATCCGGAATGATAACTTTCCATTGCCGTTGGTGATGGAGCTGATAGAACGAGTGGGTCGAAAGATCATGGAAGAGAGGGCGCGTTATGCTTCAGAACCTGGGGCACGGTTGTGGATCAGCTCACTCGACCTGGCGAAAAGTTTTTGGCAACTTGAGTTGGACGCCGCTCGAGGAAGTACACCTGTTTCATCACGAAGTTTGGGAAATATCAGTATCGGAGGATTCCTTTCGGCTTGGTAGATTCCGCAAATCAATTTCAGAAATTTCTCGAGAGTGTTCTTCAAGGTCTCGAGAATTGCCTGAGCTATATCGAGCTTGGAGAGACATGAGCGTTTGCTTCGACAGGCTCTGGATCGATTTTGTAAAGAGCAGTTGTTTGTCAAGAAGTCGAGATGTAAGCTGTTTCACTCTGAAATTGATTTCCTCGGTTTCCACATCAGCGAGGCAGGCGTCTCGACACAAGAGAAAAAGGTACAAGCGATTGTGGATCGTACGGCGCCGCAAACAGTGAAGGAACTCAAGTCGTTTTTGGCGTAAAGCTGAAGAAGCGTTTGATATCAGCCCCTGTTTTAAGGTACTTCAACCCAGCGTTAGCTACTTGCGTGTTGGTCGATGCGAGCGACTACGCCATTGGTGCTGTCTTAACACAACAGCATGGCGAAGATCTGTTGCCTGTCGCCTTCTTTAGCAAGCCGGCGTCTCAACAGTGCTGAGGTAAATTATTCAGTGCGCGAGAAAGAGCTTCTGGGATTGATTTCAGCATTGGTGCATTTCAAGTTTTACTTGCACGGACGCAGGGTGTTGGTTCGTACTGTTCTCAAGTATCTTCTCACGCAGAGCAACCTCACGGGTCGATTGTTTCGATGGAGTCAAATTCTTGCTGGTTTCGATTTGGATGAAATCTCCTACATTCCTGGAGAAGAGAATGTTATCGCCGACTACCTATCTCGTCCGAACGATTCTACGGTTGTGCCGTCACAGAGTGCGTTAGACGATGAGATTCGACAGCGTGCTGATTTGGTCAACTTGGACCCTACCTTGCTTTGTACCATCTCGTCCTCTGGGGAGG